TTCATTAAATAATATAGACAAGTTTTGTCTATTTATTTTATTCTTAAATGCCTATAATTGATAGCAGAAGTCATTGGTTTATACCAACGGCTTCCCATACTTAATACTTCTCGTTCTCACTCTCGCGTGGTCATGTGTGACGTCACGAGCTGCAGTGCGATTTTCGGTTCTGCGTCACGTATACACGAGTTTGTCGTTGCTTGGAAATCTTTCATGCACCAAAAACAGACTATCATTACTCTTTTGTCCATGTATTTTTTTAATATATTGATATTTAATTGTCATCTTTGATAATGGCTTATGTAAGCCGAAAGCTTAGATAGGATTAAAAAACATGTATCAATATGGTGTTTTTCTTTCTTCTTTCAATGATAATGTTATTAAGCTTGAAAGGAACTTACTTAGAATAAATAAAATTGTCTATATTATTTTATGAAACATGCATCAATGAAAAAATGCTGCCTAAATACACACACACAACATATATATATATATATATATATATATATATACACACAAATAAAGCGAAAGGACAGATTAAGAATCTTCATTTCTTAGCATTTACTTTTTTAAAGAAGTACTCAATGCAACGTAGACCACAATATTAAAATATTGTTATTATATATATATATATATAAAGAGAGAGAGAGAGAGAGAGATAGACAGTGAGTTGGTTACATTTATATTTACAAACATGAGTGTGCATATGAAATATCCGTCCGGAAAGTGAGCAATAATTTGAAATATTTCGAGAGCTGGTTCCAACAAATTAGATGGGGCCTTAGCGTGCAGTCATGGACAAATAATCTCTTTTGGAATTACTTAGTCAGCGCAGTGAGACGCCCTTGAATGAGCTTGTGTAATGTGTTGCCTTTACATTACTTATAACAATGTGTCTTGCTCAAATTCATTTTGAATCTTTTTTTATCATTTCATCCCAAGCAAGGCGATAATGCCACTAAGGCACAAGGGGGTTACTGAAAGTGAAAATGAGAAGACTTTAGTGAAGAGAGAGAGAAAAAAAAGTCCCTGTTTAAAGAACGCAGAAGATGGCAATTGAGGCTGCATTAAAATTTTTGATGGTTATAAATGGTACGTAACAAACAAGAAAGAAGGTTTTATAGGCGAGAAAAAAAAACTATTAAAATAAAACTTCCGGTTGCATCCTGCAATTTCAACAGTAAAATAATGACACCTGGTTATCGATCTACTGGTATGTTTAAATTCATACGGTTTAATTACCAAGAAGAGCTCAGCGAAACTATTTATGGAAAAACAAAAATAAGTCACTTGATAGCGGTGAGAATGTGACTGAAGTTGAGATGCCACATCAGGACTTATAACCTAACAAACCCGTGTTTGTATTTTGTCGAAAATCTCGAGATATATAGCAAGAGCGCCAGAACTGATATGGCTGTAATATTCAATGCACGGACAAATGACAGATTTATGAATGTACAAGATAGATTCTGTCGAGAAAGATTGCCTGGCACGACATAGCGAACAAACTCTCATCTGCCAAACCTAATAATTGATTTAATATAATCTCTCAACTTCACGTCAAATGGGAAACGTGAGACCAAGAAGGCGCAACGCGTTGCTCTCCTGAAGGCCAGTACCAGCCATGTTGTTGAGAAACAAAAATAAGTTATCTATGAAGATTAAAAGATAGCAGTTTCTTCGTCCTGTTAATAACTGATTGAGGGTAATTTTTGAGAGCAGTTTTACTTTGTCGGACCTATCGGGCATACAATTTAGACAAGAGTAAATAGTTGGGTAATCAGTATAAATATATATTTAGGGACTGATGACACCAGGAAGGTCGTTGATAAAGATAAGAAACAATATAGTCCCAAGAATATAGACCTGGGAGACATCGACATTAATGAGAAAGGATCTAGAAGTCTGTATGTTTAACAGGAGTTCCATTACATGATTTTTTACATGATTGTTTTTTACATGATTTGTTTAGAACGGTTGGGTCAAATCAAATATTCGGCCAGAAACACCATAGTTCATGGACTTGTGCATGCCAAACCCTGTCAAATGCATTTAAAAGCTTGATAGATAAATTCATTAATAACCGTTGACAATTTGGCGGTTGACCTCGAAAAAAAGAAGCCACATTGTTTATCTGAACGAAGGCCGTGTGAAGTGGCCTGATTAACCAATTCCATGTTAGAGCCTCTAGTACTTTGACAAAATAGGTAAAAGACTAATAGGGTGATGATTCGAGAGATAAGTAGTTTTTAAAGACTGAAAAAGCTTTCCCACAAACGGAATGACAAGAAGCAGCAAGGTATTTGTATTTGGCTTTCTACGATTTCTAGCTTTTCTCAAATTTAAATTTACCATTGAAACAGAGAATTCAGACCGTAGGTGAGATTAAGTAGAACAGAACCAGACAGCTGATAGCAATTTTGAAAGAAGACTTGGCAGCCATATTTTATGAAGTGAAAGGAACGCTAAGATAGGCGTGTGAGTTAATAAGAGTATTTTGAAGGCGACTAATATACCACTGGGCCATTGTGATGTAGGTAAGCTATTTTATCGTCAATATTAAATAGCTGCATACTTTCTGGACTGACCTTATATATATATATATATATATATATATATATATATATATATATATATATATATATATATATATATATATATATATATATATATATATATATATATATATATATATATATATATATATATATATATATTTTTGGTTGATAGATGTTTTTGTGACCCTGGGTTTCACACTTTGCATATAATATATAAATAATTATACATATATATATTTATTTATATTTATATACACTTTTCACACACACACACACACACACATATATATATATATATATATATATATATATATATATATATATATATATATATATAAAAAGAAACAATTTATGCAAAAAATTTAAGTAGTAATGTTAATGTGATTAATAGCGAAATCACTTCACTAACAAGGCTTAACTTCCTTGAATAATAAGATCCTTTTATTGGAGTTGTTGTCGCATGACAAGTACTTTCAACGACTTCAAATTGTCATCTTCAGGACGCAGTTTCCCCCCCCCATACATAGGCAAACTCTAAGACGAAATATGTGTAGACCGAAAAATGATTTTTTTTTTTAAATATTCTATTTATTGACAGTTAAATATATGTTTTGGAGCGTGCGATACCGCGACGCTAGAAACATCTTCCGGTCTACACATATTTCGTCATAGTGTTTGCTTATGTATGGGAAAAATTGCGTCCTGAAGGTGACTATTTAAAATTGTCGAAAGTACTTGGCATGTGTCTTCCACCTGACAACAACTCGAATATAAGGATCTTATTATTCAAGGAATTGATAGTAAGTTAATGTCTCATTAAACCTTGTTAGCGAAGTAATTTCGCCATTAACCGCATTAACATTGCTAATTAATTCTTTGTATAAATTGTTTCTTTATGATATAAAATATAAGCCGCACACTCTAATTCATACATACACACACACACACACACACACACACATATATATGCGTGTGTGTGTGTGTGTAAAGAATAACTGCATATATCCACATCGTACTTCTTGTTAAATCGATGACGTATCCAAGTAGCACTGGATTTACGTTTGCTCCCAGCTGATGCCAACGTGGAACATGTTATGAAAAATCAAAAACAAAGCATTGGTCTAACAAAAGTAAATTTCACCGTCCACTGACAGGAATGTATAGGCTCAAAAGCGTAGCTTGTATGTAGCACAAGGCCGAAAGTAGGAGGCACCCAGTGAAGATCGAACTCATGACTCAGTTGTAATTTTCTAGCGAGACAAGCTTGCTAACCATTACACCGCCTCGAGGTGCTCCAAAGCTCACAAGTTGATGAGATGACAAAAGAAATGACCAACATCTGACGCTTTCCGTTTAAGAAAAGGCAAAGATATTTCGCAGTATAATTTTTATCATGCATTTCTAATATCAAAGCTACATTAATAATGGAATATATTACAAAATGAGGAACTTGTCACAAAGTTCGAATAGCTTTCCAAACACTTATTTTCCTAAATATAGACGAAGGTAAATATTTGATGAAATTGTTTTACTTTGTAAGATGTCTTTATGAAGCTACATTCTTATTCGTATACTTGTCATAGCACCAACTCCTTCACATTACTAAATGTGCTTACATTTATATAATAATACATATTGATAGACATATTTTTTCTCCGTAGTGTTTTCTTGGCACTTTGCAAAGACATCTTGTTCGCACAAAGCCAAACTTGACGTATTTTACGCGAAAGCCATTTAAGGCTGGTGCCAAATAAATCATATTTTTCGTCGTCTTTTCAAGTGATAAGCCGTAATATTTTGCATTTATATTTTCATCGGTTATCTCCCTTT